GATGGGTGTAATTTTAGGTTGTTTATGAAATCGTAGTGAATTTGGATTGATTTAATATGAGTGACCATTCCCGATTGTGAAACAGCTGTTGTTACAGGAATTGACATTGATTACCTATTTTCTTCTAACTATAGCTTCTCTTATTTTAATTTTGCAGACAATTACCTATAAGGTAAATATGGTCAAGCTTTGAGAATTCTCTGACAGAAGTACTATAACCAACCAAAATAAAAGGTAAGAGTTCATTATCTTGCTTACTACACAACTAAGTAATTAGCTTACTCTATAAGTATGAAACATGTTCACTGTTATATTCCATAGGAAGCTGTTAGGTTCAATATACGGCTTACACCTCCTCTTATACTTCTGGAACCTTTCTTTGCAGCAATAAAAGGTTAGTTTACATTTCTACTTACTGAGATGTTAAATTTAGTAATATATACAATCAAGAAGTGCATATTATGTTTTATTTTTTGAAAATCAAATGAGAAAAGTAATCGTTGTTTGTTTGTTGATGATACACTAATTTAAAAGATGAAAAAAAACTTTATGTACCAAACTTGATGAAATTATCATTGTTTGAGACAGTAAAATGAAGATTACCGCAGAACTTGGTAAGCCTGATGTCTCTCAAGAAAGCAAAGTATGCAACAATTTCTTGTTGGTAAGTGTTTATGTTCTCAAGCTCTAGATTGAGACGGTATTGGTGTAAAGCGTGTAGAAATGCAATGGAGTTAGTATATATAGTGGTTTGATAGGTCTTAGGGTTTTGGGATAGAGTATATCAGAAATCTTGATCATCACGGTTTGGATATCTAAGAAAATATTGAAATCGGCATATACTGTTAACAAATAAGAATAATATCATTTTGGTTAGAAGTAGTTGACAAATATTGAAAGTGGAGAGAATACTTAATTGGTATTCTTACCTTTTTTTAGGAAAACTAAATGATTTATAAGTTACTTGTTTGCAAACGAATTGGATCATGTAACTATGTATGTTAAACCAAAATATTCTTAGTAATAAATGTTGATATATACGAAATCAATCATAGCAATTGTTAGGATTTTTTGTTTTGGAAAGTTGTATTAGTAGGGATCCGATATTCTTGATCCAAAATTCTTGGGTTTTTTTTCGGAAAATATTAGGCTCCGAAATCATATTTGCGGGTTAAAATTCCGGGTCATTTTCCGGGTCAAAATTGAAACAAAATCCGACCCGATTAGGATCCCTTAAAACTGCTCCAAAAATGTATAGTAGATTGATCCTAAACAAAAATTTATATGAATCTCTACTTGCTATAAATTATAATCCTAATTACATGAGTTAATGGATTTGTTATGTGATAGTCTATCTTTTTAAGAAAAAGTGATTCCAGATATTAGATATACTAGGGCAAAACCCGCGCTCCGCTGCGGGGTATTTTTTTGAATTTATGTTTGTTAAGCTTTGAATATTAGATGAATTTACATTTCAATATGAATTTTATAACTTTGTTTCATAAAAACCATTGTATAATATAAATTATCATCAATAATGATTCAAAGAAAAATGTAGTCTCTATATAAATATATAAACAGCATTTTATATAACGAAACGTGAAGTTTTTTTGATGTGAATATAATCATATATAATTCAATTCTTAGTGGGTTTTCCAAAAAAAAAAAGTTATCATCAATTAAAGGTCTTTGACGTCTGGGCCTTTTGGGCTTTGAGTTATGTTTGTAAACCCATTATACTTGTTATAGTTTGGAAAAAAAAAGGAAACTTATGAGGAAAAAAAAAAAACCGACGTCTCTCTCTTCTCTCTCTCCCCTCACCTCCTCTTTCATCTCTGCTTCGGATCTCTATCTCTTTCTCTCCCTGATTAAACCTCTAAAATCAGGTAATTATTTCTTTTAGTCATCACCATAATCGGTGATTTCAATCTCCCATTGTTGTTTTTTTCGTTTATCTTGCAGGGAGTTTTTTGGTTTCGGATTCTCTGAAAATTAGCAAAGTCTTTGTCTTTTGTTTCCTGCTTTTTTCATAGTCCCCATTGAAGCTTTTTCTCACAATCTTAATGTTCTCAAGGTTAGAGTTTTGTTCCTGTCTTTAATCGAAAAACTTCCAGTATGAATCACATCTTCTTTCAATGTTAATAGGTTTAGCTTCATAAACTAATCTTAAGAGGATGCACTAATCTCATATCATCTTCAACTGACTATGAAGAAAACAGAACAAACATAACTTTGTATCAAAAATTTCTTGCACACTCATTGTCTTTAGCTACCAAGACCATAACCATCCAGAATTTGCAATCATTTAACAAAAACAAACTCACTCCAAAGTGAGATCCTTTAATGGTCAAATCTTATATCCTTGATCTTGAACTCTGCGACTATACAAATACATACAAACTTAAAACAAAAGCATATACATTTCAATAACAAAAACAACAATTCACAATCTCAGGTCTTTCTTAATCCTTAGGCCAAACCCTAACCTTCTCCTTCTCAATCTTGACAAACATAGCTGAAACAGCCACAACGAAATAAATCTGAATTAACACCACAAAAGGCGTATGATAATTCAACACACTCTTACCCGTCGCGAGCTCAACCAGAAGCAAAGCCATGAACCCTAATCCTCCCGTTAATCCTTTCACTATATGGGCTAAACCCTAAATCCAATTTCAAACCACCTGAAACCGCCTCTTTTAAGCTTACCGGCGGCAAATAATTCCCGAACCTTTCGACGGAGACCCAGTTGACCCTTTCTTCGATTTCTCACCTCTGCTTTCTTCCCCGTTCCGTTTGGGTATATCTGAGTCTGCTGTTTGAGAGACAAGTCTCCGACCTTTAAAATTAGCTGGTTTAATTATTGTGTCTATTGCTAATATGTATTGGGCTTGATCCAATAAACTCAGGTCGGGTTGGGCCTGTAATATTTTATGTTTATCTTTGAATCTAATTGCAAACCCAACAAATAAAATTGTGAGAGAGAGAGAGTGACGTGGAAGGAGAAAGAATTATTAGTGGACAATAAAGTTAGAGCTGTATTAATCGAAATGTTTTGATTGGATGTTGATTTTAATGAGGTGTCAGTTCCAGAATAGCCAAAAATGCTGAGGTGTCAGGCCTGGAGAGATTCTTATTGTTATTATTGTATTGATAAGCAATTTCTTAATGAAAATTCTTTTTTGAAATTTAGCACAACCAAGAAAGTCAACAAAAATAATTACAAGAATTAAAAATACATAATAGAGAACTAACAAAAAATGTCCCAATATTTGTTAGTCGATCAATATACATTAAACATTTCCTTTAGAATTTAATTACACAGATATCAACCTTATGTTATTAAATCAAATGTTCTCTTCTCCTTTTTTTTTAATTAAATCAAAAGCCAAGTTACATTGAAGCAAACCAATAAGGCGACAATCTACCAAATTCTGTCAATTTGAAGAAGAGTGCCAATCTACTAAATTGGATTACCATCAACTAATCGACGTCTTTTTAGTTTTTTTTTAGCAAATTTTCAAATTTTAAAGTTTCCACAAACATTTTTGGAAAAGAATCATAAAAATCCGTGACTTACGTCTTTTGGCAAAAACATCAATTCATTTTTTCAAATTTTATTTGGCCAAATTAGTCGTAACCCTTCTTTGAAAAATCGCTAGGCGCTAGTCGGACGCTTGGTATGGGCCTAGCGATTAATCGGAAAATCTGATTAAAATCATTTTAATATTTTTAAAACATATTAATCCAATATTGTTTTCAAAATTGCTCAAAATTGCAGTAAACACATAAAACTGTATTTTTTGAGATAAATTTTTATGATTTTTATTACAGATTTATGATTTTTATTAAAATTTGAACATAAGTTATTGTAAAACATCACAAACTCCTAATTTAAATGATTGAATAACAAAAATAAAAAGTTTTTTTATAATACTTGCAATCTAAAAAAAGTCGGGGTATGTAAAATTAGGCGAGAAGTAATCGGATTAGGCGGAGAGTAATCGGATAACTGATTTCTTTAGGGGATTAGTCATTAATCGAGGCGGATAGGGTGGGCCTAGCGATTAAGCGGGGAGTAATCGGGATAGGCGGGGATTTTTAAAACGGGGGTCTTAACGTTAGTCAAATTTAACTAAGTACTAAGTTTGATCAATGTTGCATCTAATTCCCCCAAATCAAATTCAGCCAAAACTATTAATCTATGGATTTTTATATTTCTTTCTTTACTACACCTGTTTTAGTGTTCAAGTAATAAAAAATAGGTTAGTTAAAATCTTATATTTATATTTTTAACTTTTGTATGACTTTAGTATAACTTTTGTAGATTTAACCCTGCCCATGACATATGACAAACATAATACACAAATTCTTTGTCAACGTAAGATTAAGTCAGTCAAATCAATGCAAAATTGAAGATTTACTTAGTCAACAATTAAATCAAAGATTTTTTGGTAAAAAAGACTAGTCGAGGTTTTCTAAAATTTATTCCAAAAGGGCAAAACCCATTGCTTCAGTTTAAGGCTAAAAGTCTTTATTTCTCCCCTAGGAGAGATCTTCAACTTTTTTTTTTTTTTTTTTTTTTTTTGTGAAAAGAGAGATCTTCAACTTATAAATAAATATTATAAAGAAAAAATCACAACATTCAGTAACATACGCAATCGATGATGTCACAGAAACCCGTGATGGCTGTTGTTTAGTAATTTAGAGCTAAAATAAAAACGTATGACTTTACTTGCCGTCTCTATCCTTAGTCTTTGCAATATCTCCGACTCGTGAAATGCCACAACCACCGCATAAATTTTTCTACCTGATTTTTCCAAAATTTGAAATAGATTTTATTCCAAAAATTTTGACCATATTAGAAAAATAATTTATGCTTGAATGGCACGCTTGAAATTTTTCTTTTTAAAGTACGTAGCTTCACAAATGAAATAATGTTACCAAAAGAATTGGCCACACACATCTAGATATATACGCGCGAATAGAAAGTGAAGTAAAAAGACGCAGAATAGAACCAAAGAATGGAGATATGGTTATTCATCTTGGCCTCTCTCTCCGTATCTCTCCTTCTCCATCTTCTCCTCCGCCGCCGCAACTCCTCCTCCCCTCCGCTACCTCCTGACCCCAACTTCTTACCTTTCCTCGGAACCCTCCAGTGGCTCCGGGAAGGGTTAGGTGGCCTCGAATCTTATCTCCGCTCCGTCCACCACCGTCTAGGCCCCATCGTTACCCTCCGCATCACTTCCCGCCCCGCCATATTTGTTGCCGACCGTTCCCTTACTCACGAGGCTCTCGTCCTGAACGGCGCCGTCTATGCAGACCGTCCACCACCAGCTGTAGTCAGCAAGATAGTTGACAAACACAACATCAGCTCAGGGTCATACGGAGCAACGTGGCGGCTTCTCCGTCGAAACATCACCTCTGAGATTCTTCACCCCTCGCGTGTGCGATCTTACTCCCACGCCCGTCACTGGGTTCTTGAGATCCTCTTTGACCGGTTCCGTAACCACGGAGGTGAACAACCGATCGTCCTCATCCACCATCTCCACTATGCAATGTTTGCGCTTCTTGTCCTCATGTGTTTCGGAGACAAGCTCGATGAGAAGCAGATCAAACAAGTGGAATTCATTCAAAGACTTCAGCTCCTTAGCTTGTCTAGATTTAACATCTTCAACATTTGGCCTAAGTTCACCAAATTGATTCTACGAAAGAGATGGCAAGAATTTCTCCAGATTCGGAGACAGCAGCGGGACGTTTTGCTTCCGCTGATTCGTGCCCGGATGAAGATCGTGGAAGAGAGGCAGAGATCGGAGGAAGAAGACAACAAAGACTATGTGCAATCATATGTTGATACCTTGCTCGATCTAGAGCTTCCAGAGGAGAAGAGGAAGCTCAACGAGGAAGACATCATGAACTTGTGCTCGGAGTTTCTCACTGCCGGAACTGACACAACGGCCACCGCGCTGCAATGGATCATGGCCAACCTCGTGAAATATCCAGAAATACAAGAGAGACTACACGAGGAGATCAAAAGCGTAGTGGGGGAAGAAGCAAAGGAGGTGGAGGAAGAAGATGTGGAGAACATGCCGTATCTAAAGGCTGTGGTGTTGGAGGGACTACGGCGACACCCTCCGGGACACTTTTTGCTCCCGCATAGTGTCACGGAGGATACTGTATTGGGAGGGTACAAAGTACCGAAGAATGGGACGATCAACTTCATGGTTGCAGAGATAGGGAGGGATCCAGCGGAGTGGGAAGAACCAATGGCGTTTAAGCCAGAGAGGTTTATGGGAGAAGACGAAGCGGTGGACCTAACCGGAAGTAGAGGGATAAAGATGATGCCGTTCGGAGCAGGAAGGAGGATATGTCCGGGTATAGGGCTAGCTCTGTTGCATCTCGAGTACTATGTCGCCAATATGGTCAGAGAGTTCCAATGGAAAGAGGTCGAAGGTTACGAAGTTGACTTGACGGAGAAGCTTGAGTTTACAGTCGTCATGAAGCATCCGCTTAAGGCTTTTGCTGTTCCTAGGAGAAGTCACTAGTCTTCTACTTCTTTTCTTTGGTTTAGGGTACTAGTCGTCCTCTGTTTCTTTTCTTCGGTTTAATATTCAAAATGTGTGAACTCTGTTTGGTGGAGTCAACTATGGAACTAGATTTTAAGTATAGTACATTCTATACGTTGGAATAAATCATGCTGACCGTTTGTATTCAAGTGTATATTGGCCACCTCAAAGTAAACAAATATTTTTATTCTAAATTGCAACTTGCTAATGATGTTACGTGCTCTAGCCATACAATCACATATTTGGTTTATCTATATAGTAATAACAATCCTATGATTCGAAGGAATGCATAATTTTTCGTTAATTACTTTTTATAATTGTGGAAAATATGTTTTAAAAGAATGCTTTTATTCTTTTCCTAATCATAATTTTAGTTTTGGGATTTTGTACTAGGGATTGTTACATTGGAACTTCTAAACTCTCAAGACTTAGGAACCCTCTAATCCTTTTATAATATTTTGTTGTTCGGTACATTTTTTGAAGATTCGCTATCCTAACACAATGACTAATCCAGTAACTTTGGATGTCGAATAAATTTAACAAATACTAATTTCAATAAATTAGAGTTTTCATACATTTTAGAGAATCACCAATTTTTACGAGTCAATTATACATTTCGGCCATGATGTGCCATCCCATATACATGAACCTAAAAAGTAAGAATCTTGACAAACGATTTTAATCCTCAATTGTGAAAATATATATAACCATTTATAAGAAAAGAAATGACTTGTGAAATTTTTCAAAAGACATAATTTCTTTTTTATTTGGTTAAAAGAAAACTACAAATGTCAAGCAGAGTTAAGCTCAAAAAATTTAACTGGCAGCTTATAAAATTTTCACATTCTTTTTTTGTTTGTAATTTCAAAGAGAGTAGAGCTCTCTACTTTCTTTTCTAATGGAAATTTTTCCAATGTTAATGGAAAGAATATTGCTAAAGAGATGATGAATTGAAAAGAAAAGAAAAATTAAACAAAGCCATCACTAACAACTAATTTATTGCTTTATGTGAAATAGCAGCTACGTACTTTTTTATAAGTGTAGTATTTCATTCAAGATTTGTATCGTTGACTAGATTCTCCAATGTGTCAACAAACTTATTGGTGTAACCGGTTAATAATCCATCACTAACCAAAACCTCCTTCAATTTGGAATGGTTCCTCTTCAGATCTCGCTATCTTGGTCCATCACAGATGTGATCGCAACACTCAAGCTCTCCTTCGAGAACCATCCTGTTTCTACTCTTTCCACTTCAACGGAATCCTCGAGTTCCTCAGTCATCAATCTTGTGTTGAGAACTTGATCAGCCAAAAATGGAAGCAAAACTCATTAAAGATTCCCACATTGACCCGAACCCACAATGGCTCACAAAACAGCCTACTGATGGATGAGCCAATATTAATGGTTGTTGCACCCATTCTCCCCAAACGACTCCACGATCCTTCACCCTCTCCTTGAACCCTTCTTGAGTAGTCTTGGCCCCTTTTGGTGGCGTTACCGCTAAAAAAAACGGTAAACATGTAAGCTCAATTCCTAAACAAAGTTCTTGGAATTGGTCTTTCTCTAGAGTGATTTGACTTCCCAATGCACAGAACACTGCGGAGCCTTGTCCGAACCCGTTCAGCCAATGACTCCATCGATCTTCAAGTGGTTTACTTTTGTCTGGCTCAGGAAGCATTGGACCGGTTAAGAGAACCTTCTTCTGGTATTGACGCTCAATATAGTCACAGAATTTACCTTCTATTTCTTCGCATTTCCTAATTGAAATGAAATCGCTATTCATAAGACCTGTGGTGAGCCGATGATAAAACCTCTTGTAGAAGCCGGAGAAGGTCAGCAACGCGTGAGCATCGTGTTTGCGGTACAACGCCTTCGATGAAGGATAACCGGGTGGAGGAACTCCTAGTTCACCACCTGGGACAAGGTCGTGAGCTATGGAAGTAGCTGACACCACGTTGTACAACATACTCTTGACTTTATGAGCTTTAGCCATTTCCGGAACCCAATGAGCTAAATCGAACAAGATCAGGTCCGGTCTCAAGGAAAGAATCGCGGCTTCGACCTGATCCCGTGTAAGATCCATGGCTATAGACAAGAACTTCACCAACGAGATGGGGATATCCGAGGCTGTCTCGGCACCAGAAGGGAGGCCATCAACATGAGGAATAGTAAGAGGATGAAAGACGATACCATGTGGAAACAGATTCTGATCTTCCAATTGTTTTTGAGCTTTCTTAGGTAGCAAGAAAGTAACCCTATGACCTTTCTCAGCTAACTTGTTTGCTAGATGCAAGTACGGAGTCATATGACCAAAAGCAAACCACGGGAACATAAAAGCGTGAATCTTTTGGCCCATTTTTTTCTTCAGTTTTCGAAACAACAGAATACAAAAAATAAAGTATTGAAAGAGAGCCAAAAGAAGAAATTGTTGTTGTGTTTCAAATCATAATCATCTTTGCTTTATTCTTTACTTGTGTAGCGATTCAGATGCTCTTCTCCTCCGAGGACATCCGTATATGAATAAACAAATATAACTTGGAGAATGTGCTTGTGAAAGTGTGTGAAGGCGTTTTAGGTTAATTATTAGTGAGGGATTAGTATATTTGAGTTTACTATTAGCGGTTGATTGGTTCTTTCGATTGGTTAGTGAGCAAGTAGTGGATGCATGTGCCATGTTCCATGCATTATCTTTTATTGTCCTTTTATAAAAGTTGTTTGATTTTACACCTTAATGTAATGTAATGCACAAATACAATGGTACGTGACAAAAAGTCGGAAGAAATCGATTTTATATTTACTA